ATGGCTGGCTCGCAGGATTCTATCCCTTCCTGAGCGAAGTTGTGATGTATAGCAGACTGGCAAGGGATATACATCCAAAGTACTGTCGTGGTCTTCACAACTGACTACCTACAGTGGACGGCAAATTCCGCCACACTACTTGCGAGACCGTTGAGGCATTTACTGTTATATGGCATGAGTGTTGTCGATCCTAATAATGCGCAAGAATCAGGCGCATCACGCATCTGGAATTCAACTAACAGAACGGAACCATGTCTCCTTTGAAGTGGAGCTGGTCACGTCTTGAAGATCCACGATTGCCTTGATACCCATCAATACCTAATCCCATAGTGAGTTGGGTAGCATGCAGCACTTGGCAGACGCAAGAAGTGCAGACATGCAGCAGCAGCAGTAGTTTTGGAAGTACTTGCAGTAGCGGTATGGGAATCGAAAATTATTCTTGTCGGAAGAAACAAACAGGCCAAAGGGCGCTTACTGTGAACACGTCGGGCCTAGGTTGGGCCTTTTGTAAAGTCTTGTGTTCTCTTGACCTGTCCTGTGTGGAGTTCGCCACCCATCCCTTCCTTCAGTCCTACCATACTATACAGCAATGGTCAGGATGAGTGAGCGTGATGACTCCTTCTAGAACCACTTGTTAACAATCTACAGTGTTTCCCCCTAGGATTCCATCCGAATTCCAGGACTTTAGTTGTGATCCCGAAGCGAACATTACCTCCTCCCTACTTCGTAATAGACAAAACACTGAACGACCCTTAATTTCTAATAAGCACAAGTACAACAGTACAGTACAGTACAGTACAGAAAAGGGTCTGACCAATTCAAGGGCCGAGGGCGGTGGGTGGAAAGCGGCAAAGCAAAAGTAGAAACAAAAACAATACTGCAGGGCGGCTAGAGTCGACCGTGTTTGACCGTCTGCAGTACAGTGGCAGAAGGGAGGGAAGAAGGGAGAAGGCAGAGAATTCGTCCAATCTAACTCGACCCAACCCCGATTATTCATTCTCCCAGCAAACTTCCATCACTCACACCACACATCACACACATCACGCATCACACACGGAGAGTGACAAGCCCAAGCCTTGAGCCCTCAAGCCTAAGCCTAAGCCCGAGCGCAAGGCCCAAGCCCAAGCAACAAGCGCCCGCCAGTCTCTCGTCTCGTCTCGCCTCGCCTCCTTCTCCCCACCCCAATCTCCACATATACTCGCTCCCTTCAGGTCTGCAATCATACTGTACTGCTACATTCTACATACTCATCCTCACTCGACCCAGTAGCGACAGCGAGGTTGGAGAGGTCTGCGTTTCTTGCGCTCCACGGGTTTTCTCGAGGGTTATCCCGTCATTGCTCAGCCTTTCCGTGACGGACACCGCCGACGACTCACCCTTCTCTCCCTCCCTCTCTATCCTCTCTCCCTGACGCATAATAACTCGAGACAAACCGACGTCACCCAACATCAGGCGCGCCGCATACAGCCATCACGACTCTGATACTTGCATTTATCGGTGTTTTTCCTCCTGGGCGTTTTGACTTTCTCATTACTCTGCACGACCAATTTGAGTTTGGAGAGTGAGAGTGAGAGTGAGAGTGGAAGCGGGACACGACGCCAATTCAGCCCTGAGAAAGAGAGACTTCTGTCTCTGCGACACGCGCATATATACACCTGGAGGTCCAGCCATCGGGTCTGCCATCGGAATTCCATCAGGATTGCTACGGCAAGCAACTCTACCGTGTAATTGCCATCACATCGACACCCTGGCGAGTTTGTAAACATGCGCGAGGTAAACTTCAGCATACCAAATGCCAACAAAGCCGCCGTCAGCATCACCACCGCCCTCTATGACCGTCGGGCGCTCGATTGCACATCCACCCTTCCGCTCATCAACTCATTAAACAACCTTGCTTACCTCACAACATCTTCCGGCCGTATACGGGACATACTCACCGTCGATGGCGGCATCGAGCGGTTAGTATGCATCCTCAAAGAGGGCAGGAGCAAGGATATGATGGAGATGTGGAAGTGGAACCTCGCTTTCCAGTGCATCGTCAACATCGGCGTGAGAGGTACTGAAGCCGTGCGGACACGCGTGGTCGAGGCTGACATGGTGCCCGTGATCGCTACCATCCTCGACAACTACTGGCAAGTCATCGAGAAGTGCAGGGAGCGAGTTGAAACCGAGAACAGGCGCAAATGCCCACTCACATTCGGAAGCTCGAGATCATCGCGGCAATCAAGTCGCGTGGAACAGCGGTCTGAGAGGCAAAGGAGACACCTACCGCCTCCTATCTCTATCCCAGAAAACTCCAACCAAGCAGACGATGATGAGCATAATAGCGATGTAACGCCTACAGGACCTGTTGCAAGCATATCTCTCAGTTCACCACCAGAACGCACCACCTTCCCCAGGCTAAGAGACACGAGGCAGCAAGGTCAGAGGGGACCTTTCCCTTCACCAACACTAGCCTCAAGCCGACAGCATACAGATCCCCCACTAACAGCAAACCCATTACAAAGCAGCACTGGTCTGAGGCCAGTGCGCGATGTTGACAGGCTGCCATCTATGGGACCGTTGCTGCATAGCAACGTCGACTCTCACCCACTTTCACCCACGACGCCTGGTGCACCTGGTGCAGCAAGTGGCAGCAGGCCAAGGCGCAGACCCTCCATCAGACATCAGTTATCAATGTCTGGGTCAGACGATGACGGGCAGATGGATGAGTCGCAGTCGGAAGATTCTGGCGACGTGCCTGGTCAGCAGGAGCCTGTTGTTGGCATCCAGGCAGACATCGAGATGCGCGATATCGTGGATGATGACGGCCTGTTAGAGTCCAACACAGACGGCGTGACGTTGGCCGTACAGGACGTTTCGAGCGCCGATGACGAGACCTTCAACATCACACACCGAGCTTCAGCGGACGGCAGTCAGGTCAACTTGGCAGCCACACCTACCCAAGCTCAAGCTTTCCCAGCACAACCTCCTACGCCAGGAAACACATTGAATCCGACACCACCAACAAACCTCCAGCAGACACCTGCCTGGTACCAAGCGAGGAACTTTGCAGCTGACAGACCCACCCCTGCCACGGTCCTTGCAGCCATGCCGAGAGACGAAGATGTCCTCATGTCACTGCAACTACTCGCGTTTGTCTCCAAATACTGCAACCTACGTTCATACTTCCAGAAATCACACCTCGTACCGAGGCTGAAGATCGGCAATGACCTTCGCCTGCTGGACCCAGAGCACAACCCAACAAGCCATCCAGGAAAGACACAGGAAGAGCTGGACGATGAATGGGACAACGAGTTCGTACAGAAGCCAGAGGAGAAGGCCTACAACATCTTCCCTCTAATCGAGAAGTTCACCTCCAAACCATCCTCAAGACATGGCCACGCAAATCCAAACTCCCCACAACAGAGCGATATGCAGTACTGGGCAGGCGTCGTTATGCGCAACCTCTGCCGCAAGGACGAGAAGCGCGGGATCAGACAATGCGCATACTGGCAATGTGGGAAGTGGGAGGAGTACCAGCGGCAGTTTGCCAAATGCAGACGCTGCAGGAGGACGAAGTACTGCAGCAAGGAGTGCCAGAAGGGTGCATGGGGCAGCCACAGGTTCTGGTGCATCGCTGCTGATCCCAGAGATGAGAACAGAGACGGTCACGGCCACAGTCATGGGCATAGCCACGGCAGTGGAAGTGGGAACGGAGAAGGTGGGAGCGGTGAGGGCAGGCATCGGCATCACCATCGCTCATCGCATCATCACTCCCATTCATCTTCCCACCACCATGGAAGTGGGAGCAGCACCACCCAGCAGCAGCAGAGTGGCTCCAGCGTGACCATGAGAGATGCCGCCGCGGCCACTACTGCTGGCTCTGCACCTTCTCCAAGTCACGGTTGAGCGAAGTGATTCGCCCTTCTGCAATTGCATCTACTTCTCGTTTAATTGGACATGGCATGTGATATGTGGTGCAAGCAAACAAGCATGCGCAGAGGCGTTCATTGCGGGATCGGAATCGGATCATAACTGTCACCCCTATTACCCGCTTCGTTAACGTCCATCATCTTATTTGGAAAAATGGGGGAGCGAATGCAAAGGCGGCCTGGACTTTGGGGAAAGGCTTGGAGCATAGCGTCGGCATCTTCATCTTTGATCATTCATGAACGTCAACAACAACAATATTCGTCATCACGATACCTTTTGTTTTACTCTATGTTACTTAAGCTCGAATGCCGTCCGTTAATGCTTGAGTCTTGAGTCATTCCCTTCTGGCGCCTCGTTCAGTCCTGCAATCCCTCTGATAAGCGCGTATTTGATTTTGGCTTTGACCTTGTGCTTGATTTCTGTCTTGGATTTCGGCGTTATGCTTGGAGTGCTTCCGCAATGGGAGCAGATCGCGTACACGGCGTTTGAAGGGACATCCCTACCTGAGCAGCACATTCGACTACGATCACCATGGCAGAGAACCCGGATAAAACAACATAGCTGCCCGACGCCCTACAGCCAGCTCTGACTCCACTCCTCTTCCGATACAGAAGACAAGGCCTGCTGCTAAGGACGCTGTCCCTGATGGTAGTTGTATCTTCGCTCCATCTGGGGGCCTGTTGTCCTGGATCTTTGAGAGGTATAATGATTGAGACGTTAGCTAGGAATTCGTCCTCGGCGGATGGCAATCGACTGGGTGGCTGGGTGATTAATATTGCTTTCTCATGTTCTTCTCTACATGACTCGGTATTTGAGTATCCAGGTATCTAGGTAGTGGACGGGGGCGTTTGTTCCTCGAGATCTATATAATGACTGTCAGATGCCTATCACATAAAATCCACTTGGTTCGAGACTTGTGTTGCCTTCCTCACCCTCTCCTTTAGGGAATGCTGATTATGAAGGGAGAGAGTGGGCGCAGGCATGCATGCACAAGCCAACGAGCACTTTCTCATTAATGGCAGTAAATTTTCAAGCTACATATAATACGCGCTGACTCTCCTACCATCACGTGATAATTGTGGTAACTCTCTATAGCTCAGCTGGAAGAGCGCAAGACTGTAATGGAAAACTTCATCTCAGGTGGAATCTTGAGGTCCGCGGTTCGATCCCGCGTGGGGAGATTTTTGCTTTTTTTGTCTTACAAATCTCTCGTCTGGGTTGGTCGGACACTGGCTGTGATTGGCTGCCATTAGACGATGGGACGTTATATTTCGAGATGGAATCATTTCACGTGTTCCTGGCTTTGGGCTGCACTACTACTGGCATCGCTATTACGGGGAGTTAGAGGATTGTTTGTAGTAGGCCACGCATGCTCTCACTTGCCCCTATCCAAATTGCGTGCATGTAGATCGCGATGTCGGTCGGCCTAGTACATGCCGCAGGGAGGTGATAGAAATCACGTATAATCGTGAGGGTAATTGGACTCCAGGTTAAGAAGGTGTTTGCCAGTCGTGGGACACTTCCCCAGATCGCTGGTGTTTGCTTGATCATGATACTTAATCTGATTTTCCAGCTAGCCTTTGGCGCTAGGCCTCGGGTTGCTGTTCCAGGTGCGGTATATCCTGAAACTTCTTTGTGAGCTGGGTTTTAACTATTTTTCACCTTGCTGGATTCCCTCCTTTGAAATACGAAGGAACAGTTCTAACTCTGTGGCCTGACCGGTTTGGCATATTTCGAAGCCGGTCTTTGGATTCTCAGAAGTATTTAGAGTTGAGGGTCTGGATCTTGTGCCTGGCTTGTCTCGCGACGGTGGGGGACTCGCGGCGACCATGCTGTGGCATTGGTGGTGATACGACATCACATAGCACTAAAGGAATAATTCACTCACGACACCATCAAGAAGGGAAGATCATGGCGGAAAGACAGTCTTTGGACGAGAAGGAATCTGCGTCATCCAGACGCCAGAGGGGTGTCACACTCTCGCCAACAGCCGCTCAGGACTGGCAACCTCCCGCTTCAGCTCATAGGTCGAGGTCGAGGACTATGCCGGCATCACAAGATATGCCACCTCGCTCGCCCGCCTCTATAAGATCACCGTTTGGCAACAGGCGAGGCAGTATCTTATCTAGAGTCACCTCCAATGACTTCGGTGCCGAGCTGCAGTATGCCGCACCTTCTCGCGCAAACACCGTGAGGACATACCATGAACCGGACCATCACAACCCCAACTGGCAGCCGGGCGCGGAACCTGGTATCGACACTTCAACTGACCATGAGGATCTGCCGCATCTCCTTGCGCTGAAGGCGGCTTGCGATATCAATATCATTGACTTTGGCGTGGGTGATGTCGTAGTCACGCCAGCCACAAATGAGACGCTCGAGAAGGCTCTGAGTGAGGAGCGGCCGGAGGACCTCCCCTGTCGCTGGGTTTCTGTCAATGGGCTTTCGTGGGATGTCGTGAAACTGCTCGGAAACAAGTACGAACTGCATCGGCTTGCAGTAGAGGATCTCATCAACACCCATTCCAGGACGAAGGTGGATTGGTACAAGGAACATGCCTGTATGATTCTGACGTTGCAGAAGCTGGTGAGATTGCATCAGAATGGCGAGCATGAAGATTGTCCTGCTTCAAACCATTATCAGAAGCATCATCAGAATGAGGATGGTGGGCCACACCTAAATCATCACCACCATCGCCGCCGACCGAAGAGGAACTACTGGTGGACGACACCAAATCCCGATGACCGCCCTGTCTTGCCGTATCACCTTGATAGGGATGGTGATGGAAAGGTAGACGAGACTGTCAGAGCTCATAGCGGCATGTCTGAAGACAGCCCTATCAAGGAGATTAGGACGCTGCATAGATACGAGAGCTCGCAGATTCCTGCACATACTGCTTTCATGGAGAAGCACAGTGCGCTGGCTGCGGAGGATTTCGTCGTCAGTGTGGAGCAGGTGTGTATCTTCCTGCTGAATGATAACACTGTCATCTCGTTCTTTGAACATTCAGCGGATGATATCGAACACCCTATTTTGAAGCGACTACACAGCGGTGAAACGGTTTTGCGTCAGACCTCGGACGCCTCGCTGCTCGTACAGGCAATCATTGACGCCGTTGTCGATCTGGCGCTACCGGTGAAGGAAGCATACAACAAGGCCAGGAAGGAGTTGCAAGTCGATGCCATGACAAACCCGAACATCCGCACTTCGAGAGCACTACACATCTTCGGCGAGGAGATTGATATGCTACAGAATCTGTTCAAGCCGATCGTACACCTCGTCAACGCCCTGCGAGACCACAACTCTGACGCTGCTGGCAACTGGGCAGAGCAACCGTCGACTCCGCAACCCATAGCTGCCACACCTGGTCGCGAGCGCAATGGCACCCCTATATTCGATCGCAAGATCTCAGAGTTGAGAAAGACAGGCATGCGCAAGGCGCAACCAGTCACAAACGTCACCATCTCGCCTGTTGCCCACGTCTACTTTGGCGATGTGCTCGACCACTGCATCAGCACCATCCAGGCCTTCGAACAGATGGACGCTTCGGCGAACAACATATCAACACTGATCTTCAACACCGTCGGCGCTAAGACGAACAACTTCATGATGATCCTTGCCGTTGTGACGGTCTTCTTCGCACCGCTGACATTCATCAGTGGGTACTTCGGTCAGAACTTCAGCAATGGCAACGGGCTGAACCATTCCTTCAGCTTTTTCTGGGTTGTTAGTGTGCCGTCTCTGGTTCTATTCATGCTGCTGGTGTTCGCGACGATGCTGTGGGACAACATTCGAGATTGGCTTGCTAAGAGGGGGATTAGGGCGCATAGACGGGGAAGGATGTACAGGAATCTGTCATAGTGGATGCATTTAGTTTCTCTGGCGTTCTGAAAGCGTTTATCATTTGCATAGCGTCATGCGTGGACTTTCGTGGATGGAGTGCTCGCTGGGGCCTGTCCTTTGCTTCTATAGTAGGTTGTAGCTCTGTACGTCCAGATGATGCACATCTGCGGAAACATTTCCCCTTCCTACCAAGACGTTTCCTGGAAGACTTCCTTGTGACCACGTCCTCGCTCATCATATACCTTCCTCAGGCATTAGTGCATCCTAGTAAACACAGTCGCCGGGATTTGCAAAATCACGAGCACCGAGCGCTCCCACTATACCCATGTAGGATCGCATTTTAAGCTTATGACAAAGCACCGCGTTCGATGTCATACCATCATCGCGAACGGCCTAGCCATTAAGTCCTTCGTACGCACGAGTGAGAGATGGGAGGTCACCATCACCGTTCCCCTGAAGATGGCTTGTCCTCAGACATACCGTCAGGTCTTCTTTCCCCATCGATAACAGAGACAACTGCTGTAAGATAACAAGGTGCACGCTGCGGCTTTACATCATCTCGCAACCTGACCATCCCATTCTCTCGGCTTCGTTTGCATCCGACAGAAACGGCTCACCGTCTGCCCGCGCTGCACCGGGTTTTTGTGCACGCCAGTCTATGGGAACAGGGGTGAATCAAAGAAGAAGGAGGGGGAGGCACTGGGACATCCTCTAACAAGGGTAGTCGTGGTAGAGAGCTGAGTGACTTCGCTTAGGGAAGGCCTACAGCAATTATGCAAAACGTCAGAAAGAGGAAATCCCTCGACGATGCCAGAATGGCTCCTCCAGACCAAAGGCCACACCTCAAAAGGCCCGCATACACTGGTATTGGGAAACGGCCTGGGGCTTATTCGATCAACGAGATCCCGCCGTTTATGTCGTATACATCGCCTGCGCCGACTACGATGCATGCCGGTGTGGCCAAGGCGACTGCTCTGCCGCTCCACCTCATCGCAATCATCGTGTCGTACATCGATGACATCGCCGACATCGCGCGTGTCACACGCACGAGTAGATTGCTGTACTACATGACCCTACCCCAGCTGTACACCAAGGTACATCTGCACAGCTACGGCGACCTAAGATATGTGAATGGGAGGCCGGAAGGGTTCGGGAGCGGGAGTCCCTTTATGATGGCGCTGAACGGGCTGGTAGTAAAGGAGCATGGCAAACTGGTTCAGGAGATGAGACTATGGGGGAAATGGAGAGAGGTAGGCGTGGAGGAATTTGGGCTGGGGCGGGTGCCGGATAACACCATGATGCTCAACTCGCTGCTGAGGGTTGCCGTGGACAGGATGAGCAAGCTGGAGACCTTCAGCTGGGAGCTTGATTGCAAGCCGCTCAAGACGTTATACCAAGGCCTGGCAGGTAAGAACACCCTGACAACGCTGCGACTGCGCTTCCCAAGCTCCAAGGACCCTCGGCCTGGTGTGGTGATACCGCCTTTGCCTAACCTGAGGGCTTTCAGCGCATACGATATAGATCCCCTGTGCTACCCGGACGACATCAGCTTGATGCTGCTGCATTCGCGGAAGCTGACCGATCTGCGCCTGCACTTCTCCCCTCGAATGCGCCAGGCAGCCGAGCCGACCCTGAGTCTCGAGTCCTACTTCGGCCGCTGTATAGTTGCAGGGTACAAGATAAAGTGCAAGCATTTCGCGCTGCAGAACTTCTTCGGCCCCAACCTGATAGGCCTCGATTCCTGCTTCGACATTGAACAATGCCACAGCACCACCTTCTTCGACACTTTTGGCGGCACACTGGGCTCGGCGAGGAACAAATTCATCGACGACACGTGGGCGATGCTCAAGGGCGACGAGCAGTTCTACTTCAAGACGATACGGTGCAATGAGATTGCGCCGCAGCATGTCAGTCTGCTGTCAAGGAGCTCTGGGCTGGAACGGATATACTTCGTCAACAACCGCGACTGCACGCCGTACAGCACTCCAGCTTCGGCGGGTGAGAACGGGGACCCGATTTTCCCAAGCCCCACGCCGAGTGGAGATCGAGAGAGCGTGGTTTCGCTTGGTAAAGATTACCTGTACGCGCTTACCCGTAACCATGGAACGACGATGAAACACATGCTTCTGAAACACCAATGGGCCCTTTCGATCGAGGATCTTGGCGACATCATCCGCTACTGTCCTAACTTGGAGCAGCTTGGTGTGTCCCTAAGCCTTGACACGAGCGGTGTGCTCAAGCTACTGATGCCCTTCCTGACACAGCTTAAGAGTGTGCGCATTCTCGAGAATGAGTGGCTAAGCGAATGGAGGAGGACGTTTGGTCAGCAGGGTATGAT